CTCCAGCATTAGCACACCCAAACACCGTGATATTAAAACATTTGGATTGACAGTGTGAGAAGATTTTTCTTCTTCCACTCTGACATGTCTGCCTCCAATTTCTGGAAAATATTAGGCAACGGATAAAACTCCATCAAAGGAAATGTGCAAGAGTGTCCAAACAAGAATGGTGAAACGACGTCTCATCTTTTCCCTCACTGGCCTGCAGAACAGGAGACTCATTGAGGAAGATGCTAATTCTGCTTTGGAGGAAACAGTGGCATGTTCTACTGCTTTAACCGCAGAGTTGAGTTTATATCATTGTGAATGTTAATGGCTGTTTGATTCTAATGTGAGAGTCAATGAAAACAATATGATGTTTGCAAGCTGCTTGTTGAAACGTATTGGCCACGTACACACTGACAGTATGAAGTGAATCCTCTAATCTGAATCCTTTAATGTGTGTTTAAAGCAGCGTAAAGCACTCCTGAAATTATAATATTGTACATAGTGATGATAACAGATAACACACACACACTATCTATCTATCTATCTATCTATAGTGCTGTCAAACAAAAGTTTAATAAAAGTTTTTGTTTGCATAATATATGTATATGTATGTGTACTGTATATTTATGTATATATATATATAAATACACACACATACAGCATATATTTTGAAAATATTTACGTGTTTACATGTCTATATTTATATTGTAAATAAATATATTTAATATATAAAATAACATATTTTTCTGAAATATATACATGTATGTGTGTGTATTTACATATACATAATAAATATACACAGTACACATACATATATTATGTAAACAAAAACTTTTATTTTGGATGTGATTAATCACAATCATTTGACACCACTAATATATATATACATTTTTTTTTTGGATTATTCATGCGATATGTGATGGTACCCAAATATAATATAATTGTCGCTACCTTTTTTTTTGGTTGTAAAATGTGGTTTCCACTCTTCTAAACAATTAAAATCTGTTATGCACACGGCACACAGCGACTGTTTCCAGAACAGCTGAGCAATCCAATCCTCCGTCTTGAGAGGCCTGTACCATCTCCAGTATGCTTAATATCAACACACTCTCTGTCCCCTATCCTCTATCTCAAACTGTCTGCTCAGAGCTGCTCCTGCTGTGTACATCACACTTAAGATATAGCAAGAGCACTTCATAACACACATATATATATATTATATACAGTACCATCCTCCCCGTTCCCTTACAGATGACGTTTAAGTGTTCATATTCCAAAGAGCATGAAAAGGTTAAAATAGCAGTTTGCACTCGTACCTACCTATCCTTTTCCTATTATGTCATCACAACAGGAATGTTCAAACAGAGAAAAACAGAGGATTATTTTAGCCATCCGGGCAGGGAAGTCTGACTGGAGAGAAGGAATAACACGAATGAAATGTCCCTGAGACACAAACCACAACAGGAAAGCATGACTGGATGGTTCCATGGCCGTAATAGAAAAAACACATTCCCATTGTACTCAGCTTAATTGTTTGCATTTACCGTACAGACGCCCCACTGATCTTTCACCTTCGGAAAATATACATGTTTTGTTTTCTTCCTATGGGTTTTTATTTTAGAGACATTATATAAACACTATATTGGAACAGTACTTATACTTCTAATACTACTAAATTGTAATGTTCCTTTCTAGCTGATTATTGAAATCTTAAGCTCTGACTCAGACATCAAAATGCTTGAGTTTGTGTAGAGAGATAGTTATTTCGATCCAGACCCCTTGCAAAAACATGCCAGGCATTTCTAAAAGAGAGCTCTTTTATCGTGACTCTTGTTCAACGGATTTGTACCCGAGCACTTCACATGCTGGCGTTAATTTCTGCTGGAAACTGCAGTGATCTCTATATGTTTTTGTGGGAATGTGTGTAGATGCACATTTTGGGCCTGTGTTGGCTGGTTTGCTGTGAATAGTGTTATTATCAGTGAACTAGCTATTCGTCAGCAGCGATGTTAAACTCACACATATGGAATTCATGACTGTTGTTGTGCTTTTTTCACGTCGTTTGGCTGAAATGAGTAAGTGGAAAGCTCTTGTCAGCTCTGAACAATAGAGGACTAGAGCAGGGGTGTATATGTTTTTAATGTTTCCATCAAAGACCGGATATGACCTTCCTGCCTTCAGATGTATATCCATACAGCCCTTAAATCACACTGGTGAAAAACACAGTAAAAGCTGGCCTTTCTAGAGCTGCTACGTGACGGAAGTGAAATGAATTACAGGGAATGTTTAATGATAGTGTGAACAGATGCGTCAATGAGCGCTTATTACTTTTAATAACCTGTATGAGTGTTTTTGATGGTAAATATTGAGGTCTCTAACTGCTGACACAGGCATTTATGCATTTATGCAAAATATATTTTTATGCATGTCACCAACACAATCTCATGGCAGTTCATAACTATTTTACATGCTGGCA